ATTAATATAAGGGTACAGTTTTTAGGTTACATTGTTCTCCCTTCTAGGGTAAAGTTCCATTTGTAGAAGAGCCCTCATGTTTTCTTCTAATGTTTTTGTCTGCATAGAATTTTCACATAGCTGAGGATTAGGGTGTATATACATATTGACGTATTTATACATATACTATATGACTCACTGATGTTTAAATTTATGTTGAGTATTTTTATAGAAAAAGCCTTGGTGTGGAAATTAGTGTGGGTGTCGGGAGAGAGGTGCTGGCATCAGAACGTTCTGAGTTTGAGTTCTGTTTTTGCCTTTCCTCAGTGTGTGACTTGGGCAAGTGATTCTCTGAGTAGCAATTTCCTTCACCATCTGTGAAATGTGGATAAGAACGGGCCCCATCCCAGAGCTGCTGCGGAGATTAAATGATATGACGCAGGCAAAATGTTTAGTACCGTGTCTGGCACAGAGAGGTCACTCGCCAATAATAGGTCCCTGCGTAAAGCTTTGTCTTTCTGATTCTTAGCAGCAAGCTCTAGAAATGGCATTGATTGCTGGGTTCAAGGATACGAAGAGCCCCATACAAGGTTGCTATAGTTTGCCAAAATTGAGAGGAAAATTTCAAGCAAGAGCGCGCGTCTCCAGCACCACAGCTGTTCTCATTTGTCTCCGTATTCTTCAGGCCCTGTTTATGCAGAGCAGTTTTTAAGCGTTGTAATTACAATGCTTGCGCCAGTTCCCTTCATGTTACATCATCGACATTTTCCTAGGCGGCTAAAACTGTCATTGACAGTTATTTGCCATAATTCTCTTAACTATTTCCTTATTGCTGAATATCTGGGCAGTTTAGTTTTTCATTCCTTCATTCAAGAAACCTGCTCTCTGCCAGGCACTGAATGTTGAGGTATCTTGGTTAACAAGATCAATGCTTGTTTTACTTCTGGCTCCTGGACTCTGCCTGGTGAGACAGACTGTAATGTGTAAACAGACAGACAAAACTCATAATACTGGCACCCCACAGCTGCGGTGAATGCCATGAAGAAAAAGGAGAGAACTCTCGGAGAGAGCTACTTTATTTACACATTTGTGTACTTTTGGGAAATAATCCTTATTCCGAATTTCTAACGTGCTCTTTGCTCCTCGGCAGCCAAAACGGAAGCTTCCCTTTGAGGAGTCTCAGGTGGGTTGGATATGCCACTGAGACATTTTTGAGCATCCCGAGACATCGCAGGGTGCCATGGTGTTCAGAGACCTGACCACTGGGCCTGGTTTCCTTTCTCCCTTCCTCCAAGGCTGTGCTTCAACCAGTCCCGTCTGTTTCCTGCCTCCTTGAAGAGGATGATGATTTTTTTTTTAAATTAAAACTTTATTCAAATTGAGGGTACAATTTTTAGGTTACATTGTTCTCGCTTCCAGGGTAAAGTTCCATTTGTAGAAGAGCCCCTCACCCAGGAAGAGGCTGATGATTATCCTCTTCTTAATGTTACGCACTGCACCTTTTCCTCAACTCCCTTCTCAGTACGGAACCCACAGCAGCCCTGTGAGCTTTTGAACCAATCAGCACCCCTGTCTGGTGCATAAAGCCTCAAAGGGTGAGGCTTGCTGAGCAGAGCACACATTGGATCTGGACCCTCGTGAGGCCCCTTGTTTGACTGTGGCAGCCCTGTCCACAGCTCTGAGTGATTGCCCTGCCTAACTTTCTATCCACCAGATTCTTACTCCCTCTTGAGGGGCTTCTCTTTTATGAAGCCTGCTCTGGCTTTCTAATTTGCAATACATTCTCCATTCCTCAAATGCTTAAAAAATTTTTACTTTTTACTCTTTTGGCATTTAATCATGTACTATCTTGTGATTCCTCTTTTCCTCTCTCATATCATTATTTCATCCAAAGAAGTCTGATTAGAAGTGATCAGAGCAATTTCTGCAGAGATAGCCAGAGAGCTAGAGGAAGTGTGTTGCAGGTAGAGGGGAGGACATGTGCAAAGGCCCTGGGGCAGGAGAGGTCTTGGAATATAAAGCAAACATGAATCTACGTGGGATAGTTTTTCTAGATTTGACAATTGAATTTGAAGATAACTCATTAGTTAGTACATTCATACCACTTTTTGAGGGTCACTATGTTTCAAGCCCCAGGAGATGGGGATATGAGATGGATCAGACCAGATTTGCTCCTACTCAGACTAATGGAGGAGGCTCAGATGATTTCTATATAGTGTGACAGGCAGACCACAGGGGAGTTATTATGTGTGTCATTGGAAGAGGAGAGGGAGTCATTATTTCTACCTGGGGCACAGAGAAAAGCTTATCCAAGATGATGCCACACTGAGTCCGAGTTTTCCAGGTAGGAACACAAAGAAAGGAGCAGTAAGTCCAGGTTGAGGGAACAGTGTGTACAAAAGGCACGGAGGCAGGGAGGGGGTGATTTCAGAAACGGTAATCAGGGCTGGGTGCAGGGGTGCATGCCTGTAAGGGTGTGTAGCTCACACTTGTAATCCTAGTACTTTGGGAAGGCTGAGGCAGGAGGATTGCTTGAGGCCAGGAGTTTAAGACAAGCTGGACAACACAATGAGACCCTGTTTCTACAAAGATTAAAAAAATTAGCCAGACATGGTGGAACATGCCTGTAGTCTTTGCTACTCAGGAGGCTGAGCCAGGAGGATCACTTGAACACAGGGGTTTGAGGCTATAATGAACTATGATCTCACTACTGCATTCTGGTCTGGATGACAGTGACCCTATCTCTGAAAAACAAAAAGGTAACCAAGGAGGATCTGTTAGGACAATTAGTGTGTTTGGACTTTAGATGGTGGCAAAACAGGGGAGGTTTCTAAGCAGGGGAGTGGCAGGTCTGGCTTCAATGTGGAGAATGAATGGGGGTATGGCAGAACCCAGAGCCAGGGAGACTCAGTGGGAGGCTGCTGTAATGGCCCATGCTAAGGGCAGAAGCCGGAACTGGGGTAGTGATGAAAGAGATAGACAGGAGAGGAAAGATGACCAATGTGAAACTGTAATACTTGGTGACAGACTGGTTTTAGGAGGCCAGGGTGAAGGTTAAGACATGGCAATTTTCAAGCATGGATGACTGAATGAAGGTGGTGCCATGAAGATCACAGGCACTAGGAGAATTTGGCATGGGGGACAGCAAGGCCTTCTTGTTGGTAACATGAACAGAAGCCTTGAGATAGAATCCAGTGGCTCTTGACCCTGGCTGCCTTAGAATCAGCAGAGGATCTAATGGAACAACCCAGGCCTCCCCAGGTGTTCTGCAGCAGCATCCCTAGGGGTGGAGTTCAGGACCTTGCATTCTAAATAAACACCCCAGGTTGCTCTGGTTCAGGTGGTAAGTAACTGAACCGTGTAACCATACTTGTCTAAACACCAAAATGAAGTCTTGGTGGGCTCCACGGGAACAGGTGAGAGCACCAGCTGCTGCTAAGAAGGAGGTTTGGGCCTCTCGAGTTTATGACTTAGTCAAGGCAGTTTATCCACCAACTGAAACCCTGGGCCAAAGCAAACAAACAAGATTCCTGGAGAGATGAGAGAGAAAGAGGGGCCACCTTCCTGGAAACTTCTGTGTTCTTTCATCCTGTAAGCACAGTGTGGCAGAGCTCACCTGTGAGCAGTTACGGTCACTGTCATCAGTCTGGGGTGCTGTTAGACCTTCCCAACCCTATTCTCTAAAAAACCAAATGTGGCTCCATCAGGTGGGAAGAGAGAGCCTACTCCTTGGCGTAACTTTAAAAAATATGTGGCAACCCCAAAGAATTGAAAGCAGGACTCAAACAGATATTTGTATTCCAATGTTAACAGCAGCATTATTCACAACAGCTCCAATGTGGAAAGGACCCAAATGGCCTTTTGCAGGTGAATGGAATGTGGTGTAGGCACGTGACGGAAAATTAATCTGCCTCTAAAGGCGTGAAATTCTGACACATGCTACAACACAGTGAACCCTGAGGACATTATGCTAAGGGAAATAAATCAGATACTGAAGGACAAATATTGTATGATTTCATTTATATGAGGTACTTAGAATAGTCAAGCCTCATAGAGACAGGAAGTAGAATGGTGGCTGCCATGGGCTGGGGGAGACGGGGAAGGGTAGTTTTGGTTTAACTGGCATCAACTTTCGTCCAGGAACGTGGAAAAGTTCTGGAGACGGATGATGGTGATGGTTGCACAACAATGTGAATGCACTAAAAGTGGTTAAAATGGTAAACATCTTTAATGTATATTTGCTGTAATAAAAAAGTGCCCTGATCGGAAGCAGTAGCCGTGAATGTCCTCAACTCGATCCAGTCGAGGCCAGGATGACTGAGCGAGACCTTGTCTCTGAAAAACGAAAAGGTAATCAAGAAGGATCTGTTAGGACAATTAGTGTTTTTGGACTTTAGATGGTGTCTATCTAACGGGCTTGCCCATCCCAGCAGGAGCTCTCTGCGAATAGGACAGGTGAT